TAAACCTAATTTGTTATCCTTTGGCCTAGGACCAGCTGGTGGAAAGTATCCATGTAGATCTAATTTGTTATCCTTTTGGCCAAGGAGCAGCTGGTGGAAAGTATCCATGTAGACCTAATTTGTAATCCTTTTGGCCTAGGACCAGCTGGTGGAAAGTATCCATGTAGACCTAATTTGTTATCCTTTTGGCCTAGGACCAGCTGGTGGAAAGTATCCATGTAAACCTAATTTGTTATCCTTTTGGCCAAGGACCAGCTGGTGGAAAGTATCCATGTAAACCTAATTAGTTATCCTTTTGGCCAAGGACCAGCTGGTGGAAAGTATCCATGTAAACCTAATTTGTCATCCTTTTGGCCAAGGACCAGCTGGTGGAAAGTATCCATGTAAACCTAATTTGTTATCCTTTTGGCCAAGGACCAGCTGGTGGAAAGTATCCATGTAAACCTAATTTGTTATCCTTTTGGCCAAGGACCAGCTGGTGGAAAGTATCCATGTAAACCTAATTTGTTATCCTTTTGGCCAAGGACCAGCTGGTGGAAAGTATCCATGTAAACCTAATTTGTTATCCTTTTGGCCAAGGACCAGCTGGTGGAAAGTATCCATGTAAACCTAATTTGTCATCCTTTTGGCCAAGGACCAGCTGGTGGAAAGTATCCATGTAAACCTAATTTGTCATCCTTTTGGCCAAGGACCAGCTGGTGGAAAGTATCCATGTAAACCTAATTTGTTATCCTTTTGGCCAAGGACCTTGTGATAGAAAGTATCCCGTTGAATCTAAGTTGTTATCCTTGTAATATATGATTGTTTTTCTCTTTTTTTGATGCTCTTGGTAATTTATATTCAACTTCAAATCTCACGTTTTCTTTTTGTGTGGTTTAGTCTGTATCTTGACATTTAAAAAAGTGAACATTTATCTCTGAACCCTGGAAATATTTATCATCTGTACTATTTCTACTGTTCACTATATAATTTATTGGTCTACTTGAAGTTTTTTTTTATCTACATTCAATATTTCATCTTCAAAAGATGAGTGTAGCAGTGGGTGTATTCACCAATCATATCTGACTAGAGCTCTAGACTGTTGATTTGACAGTATTTACCAGTCATATCTGACTAGAGCTCTAGACTGTTGATTTGACTGTATTTACCAGTCATATCTGACTAGAGCTCTAGACTGTTGATTTGACTGTATTTACCAGTCATATCTGACTAGAGCTCTAGACTGTTGATTTGACTGTATTTACCAGTCATATCTGACTGGAGTTCTAGACTGTTGATTTGACTGTATTTACCAGTCATGTCTAACTACAACTCTAGACTGTTGATTTGACTGTATTTACCAATCATATCTGACTGGAGTTCTAGACTGTTGACTTGACTGTATTTACCAGTCATATCTGACTAGAGTTCTAGACTGTTGATTTGACTGTATTTACCAGTCATGTCTGACTACAGCTCTAGACTGTTGATTTGACTGTATTTACCAATCATATCTGACTGGAGTTCTAGACTGTTGACTTGACTGTATTTACCAATCATGTCTGACTAGAGTTCTAGACTGTTGATTTGACTGTATTTACCAATCATATCTGACTAGAGCTCTAGACTGTTGATTTGACTGTATTTACCAATCATATCTGACTGGAGTTCTAGACTGTTGGCTTGACTGTATATACCAATCATGTCTGACTAGAGTTCTAGACTGTTGATTTGACTGTATTTACCAATCATGTCTGACTAGAGTTCTAGACTGTTGATTTGACTGTATTTACCAGTCATGTCTGACTAGAGTTCTAGACTGTTGATTTGACTGTATTTACCAATCATGTCTGACTAGAGTTCTAGACTGTTGATTTGACTGTATTTACCAATCATGTCTGACTAGAGCTCTAGACTGTTGATTTGACTGTATTTACCAGTCATGTCTGACTAGAGTTCTAGACTGTTGATTTGACTGTATTTACCAGTCATGTCTGACTAGAGTTCTAGACTGTTGATCTGACTGTATTTACCAATCATGTCTGACTAGAGTTCTAGACTGTTGATTTGACTGTATTTACCAGTCATGTCTGACTAGAGTTCTAGACTGTTGATTTGACTGTATTTACCAATCATGTCTGACTAGAGTTCTAGACTGTTGATTTGACTGTATTTACCAATCATATCTGACTAGAGCTCTAGACTGTTGATTTGACTGTATTTACCAGTCATATCTGACTAGAGCTCTAGACTGTTGATTTGACTGTATTTACCAATCATATCTGACTAGAGCTCTAGACTGTTGATTTGACTGTATTTACCAATCATATCTGACTAGAGCTATAGACTGTTGATTTGACTGTATTTACCAGTCATGTCTGACTAGAGCTCTAGACTGTTGATTTGACTGTATTTACCAATCATATCTGACTAGAGTTCTAGACTGTTGATTTGACTGTATTTACCAATCATGTCTGACTAGAGCTCTAGACTGTTGATTTGACTGTATTTACCAATCATGTATGACTAGAGTTCTAGACTGTTGATTTGACTGTATTTAC